CACCAGCCAATGTCACTATATTAACATTTTACCTAAATCAAGCTCAAATGCAATCACCAGGCTCTTCAGCAGCCAATCCTCAGATACATGCACAGACAGTAAGTGAATCAGATTAAGATTACTATTAATTTACAGGTTACAGAGTTTATTGTAGCTATTGCACTATTTTTCCTGCTGTTCAATACATTTGGCCAAACTGTCCTATTATGAAAGACTGAGTGCTACGAACAGATCATTCTCTCTAATAAGAATCTAATAACTCTAATAACAGTTTCAAATGGAATGACAATGCACAATATAAGCACCAGTTTGACAAAACAGAGAAGGGGTGATTTTACATGGGACACACAAGAACAGTTCAACTCCACTGCCTTTTACTTTGGAGAGTAAAACACACACACACACATTTGCTTGACAAAATTCTACGCAGGCGAATGACAAGCACCCATCCCCCTTCTGGCTGCATTGTAGCTCAATCATGTTTCACGAGGCATTTTTACCGATCCATTTGTCATACAACCAATGTTAGATCATACAGTCTAATAGGGAACACAGTTAAGACTGAGAGCCAACAATATGACGTGATGATGTTGTAAGACTGCCGTTGTCACAGAGTGTAATGAACATTTCTCATTAGCTGGAAAGCCCAAGCTAACTGATGGCCTTGTTAGTAGGTGTACTTCAGGATTCCACTTACTCGCTCTCTTTCTCCTCGAGGTTCCCATCATCTGAAATAACAATGTGGGGTCTGCAAAAATAAAATAAGATTTTTTGTGACGATTAGGGTTACATTAGTGTATAATAGTGTACAACTTGTACTTTCTTTCTTAAAAATCCGAGTGACTGAGTACTGTTAAGTTTGCTATCTGTTGTTTTATAGCCTTTCTAGCCCTTTAGAGCAGTGGTCCCCAACCTTTTTCGCCACCATGGACCGGTTTCATTCCGTTATTTTTTCCACGGACCGGGTTGGGGCAGGGTGCGGAGACGTGTAACAAAAGAACAAAAATGAAGCGCGCAATATTTTGCAGTACCGGCAGGGATCAGCATTTCCCAGCATGTTCATGGGTGGTGTGTAAATAGCCCCATGTTCTGTTGTTGGAGTGGGTTTATTCCTGACTGTGGCTGGTATGTCACCCTTGTATTTTGTGTACCCTGTTTGATCCTCGCATGTCCTTAGCATTGAGTAAGCTCCCCACCCTGTGTGTACCAGACAGGCCAGCGTCTGACTTCCCTGTGTTCCTCTCGTTACGCTTGATTTGGTGCTGTTTATGTGGCTGTGGTACGTCTGTTCAGGGCTATAATAAAAAAAGCCTGTCAGCTCGTCATTCGCCGCCTTAATGATGCCTCGAGTCTGCCCGGCGCTACAATATAAATTGTTCACTAAGTGCGTTGCCTTATTGCCACCTATGAGCCACAGTTGGAAGTGTTTTCCAAAATAAAATAGATTCCTTATCCATTTGGCGTGGCCCGGCACAAAATGCTCCACGGCCCGGTGGTTGGGGACCCCTGCTTTAGAGAACTGAGCTATGCTGCTCTGTCTCTGGCTAAAGTCACGCAGTTTCACACTGTTAATGCTAGCTGGTGTCATGTATGAATGATTGTTAAGATGACGCAGAATCAAACTAGTGTTATAATCAGGGATTGACATAACTGATTGTAACATGCATTACATGCAGAGAGACGGTGTGGTTAAAATCATCTGGCATTTAAGGGGTTAAACTAAATTTGCGTGAGTGAAGCCCCGCCCACTCATCAGTGGAGAACTGGAATGTTCTGGTTATTTTTTCCCGGTTACCAAAAGAAGTGTGTCACGTAGTTTTCTTAGACAGTGAACAATTTGGTTTAAAAGAGGGAAAAGAGTTTTTTTTCTTTTCTCAAATACATTGAAAGAATATCCAGAGAGCGAGACATCGGTTGCGATTGCCAAGTTTTTTTCTTTTGTCAGGTTCTTTAGAGGGAATCAAAACTTCCTGGAACTACGTTTCAATGTCATTGGATGTCGATGGCGAGCCACCCACAGAATTGAACGGACCTTCGTCTTGACTCATGTTCAATTAACTACCGGATTTGTGGTAGGACTGTGAACGCGGGACTGACCAATTGTTTATGTTGTTTTGCAACTGTGATTGTACTTCATATGTCTAAATTGTTGTATATATTTACTTTTCCTTCATCCCGGTGGGATTGAACTAAAAAGGGTAGCCAACAAACAAGTTGGAATTGGTGAATCTTAAAGTAGTCTAAGCCCAGTTACAATTAATCTCAGTGTAATTAGTGGTTGATTCTAAATTTAGCTATAAAAGTAAACTTAACTAAATTTAAAATAGTTCTAAATTGGTTGAATAGGAATTAGAATCTAGTATTAATCAGAGAAATTGACGATAAATAGCTTAAAGGTCACAGATTTAGTTAATGTGTATTTTTTTTTATGGGTTGTACATTTTATTTCCTGTGTATGTTATACCATTTTTCATCCCTATTAGTAAAGCTGGTGATTATCTGCCTTGTGTCTTCTGTGTATGCTGCCATCCACACCTCACCTCCATACCGAACCTAGACATACTGGTCCTAGATTTGCTCAGGATTGGCCATATCTAAAGACAAATCAACCAGGTTACCACAGCCAATCTGGAGCAAGCAGGTGTTACATGATACACAAGTATGCATTCATCTTTAAAAGCGATACGTGCGGCAATCGATATTCGTGACTGCACAAATGCCCATACGATACGTGCATGACTGTGCATTTTAACCTTTATATCGCAAATGAAGTACGACCTAGCATATAAAGGTTAAAATGCAGGATAATTTCAGTTATCTTCTATAATTTGCAGGTTGTTCGAAAGCCATGTCAAAGAACTTCCAAATGACTGATTTACCCTTTTCTGTTGTTGCTGTCCTTCCTCTTGTTTACGAAGGGCTCTAACTGTAAACTAAGTATGCAAAAGTTCTAGCATCGCATTTAAGGAGTTAATAAAGAAAAGGAGTTAATAAAGAAACTTGTGAGTTGATGTGACTGCTATAGTACTCGAAAGCTGTGTGACCCCTAAATACTGTAGTCATCATATCTCAAGAAGTCATTAGAACTACTAGGCTAAAGGGTACTTACTCTTCATCCTGCACAACCACACAGCCATCAGATGGAACTTCCACTGGCTGAGAAAAGTTTAAGAGGGAAAAAAGACATGACCTTAAATACCCTGGCCATAATCTATAAAATTTGGTTAAGCCCAAGCCTACACATACATATCTCAACTATCAATTACAATACTTCAGGACAGTTAAGAATAAGAATTACTTGCTAAATATACTGCACATACCCATATCTGCAAAAGGCAGCTGGGTCATTCTCTATGACAGCACATGGTGTGGAGAACCTGATATTAATACCAAAAATACCCATGCCGTTATGCTAGAAATTACAAATACCAATTTAACCATTGCAATTGACTTTGACAGCCCCTTCATACTTTAAGTCTGTGCACATGTTTAAGACAACAAAGCCAACCTGAAGTGATTCATAGATGGCCAATGCAAGATCTTCATCTTCGTCACTATGGAAACCCAAAAAGCATATTAGCTTAACTATGTGAAATACACTTTTACAGGACAATATGAATGACATAAATTCAATAATTTGTTCGTAAAACGCAACATACCCTTCCTTTGAGCACTGTGATGTGGTTTCCTCATATTCTTCATAACTTTTGCTGCTGAAAAGTAGCATGCAAACAGCAATCATATTTAAAACAATTTATAGTTAAAAGAGGTGCCATAACAGAAAGACAAATTACTTACTGTTAATTATACGCATTTAGTCAGTGATGACACTGATGTCAAGAAAAGGGAATTAGCTTAAAATTAGGTAACAATAAAAACAGTATTTTATTAGGGTCATATGTTAGTTTAATTAAAACATGCTATTATTACTTTTATAACTTGATTTTTAATTTGAACAAGAATCATGTGTCATGGCTGCACTTGAAAATAGGGGTGGGCAATACGACGTATTTTTCACTTTTTGGACGGTGACGATATTATATCACAGTATTACTTTCAAGTTTTGGGAGGAGCAGCATGTCCTGTCCCGTTATGCAAATAAAAATATTTTGATCATTTAAAACTGAACCAGTTCCAAATAACAGAGGTGCCCCCATTATTTTGCAACAAGAGTCTCCTCTCCTATCAATGCCTAGGCTGGTTCCTACATTATACTTATGTCATTTTTATTTCTCTTCACCAAGCT